AGGTAACCTACATCGAACTGTTGAACCACTTGTTTACTATCTACATGGAAAATATGAAAGAGTTACCGTACGTATTAAAAGCAGCAAAGAAAGAATTTGTTCTAGAATGAGAGTATAACAAGGGGTAAAAAGCGAGACTTCAGTACATGAAGTACAATGAAGTACAGTGAAGTACTTCAAAAGTACTGAAGTCTCGCTTTTCCCCCTTGCTTCTCCCTCACCCAAATAATGTGTACTTTAGGGTGAGAGTATGAGTATACCTTGTTTTTATATACCATACTCAATAAATAAAAGAAAAAATAATTATGTTTTAAAAAGAATCCCCTACAAGGTGTGGAAATCTTATACATATAAAATATGTTCTGAAAGATTAATGTTTACATTCAAAAAATAGCATTGAGAAGATTACTTAATTGTGACAGAACGTCAGTAGGGAAATGTTTTGCGCATATCTTGTACCTTGCTCTGAGAAATGACGGTATTGAACAACAGCTATTATAGATATCTCAAATAATACTTATGCCTTTCGATGTCAAGATCCATAATATACCAATATGTTTTTAACATGACAGTGTGTATGCGTAGAGAATGAAAAAATTACATTCTAGTTGGCGATTCTGTTAATATGTTTATTTCAAGATAAGAAATGTGATGACACTATGTTCTAATATAAAGTGAAGGCATATTATCAAATAAAGTAAATTTTCTTAGATTTGTTACTTTCTCATAAATATATCTTGTCTCATATATCTATTAAATGTTGAATTGTTTTTATTATTATTATTCTCGTTTGTGAAAACATTCTATAAAATGTCTAACATGTCCAATAATTATCAAATATTAATATTAGAAAAGTGCGAATAATATGATAATTAAAGTTGAATTCTTATTAAAGAAATTGATTTAATATTTTATTCAATTTATGTAAATTATTTGATTATTTACTTTCATTGGATTCATGATCACATTCTCGAAATAAATGTCTTTAATTTTTCTGAAGAAAGAACATAAACACGAAATATAGATGATTATCAATCTTAGAACAGCTTTTCACTTGTAAATCTTCATTTTCGAGATGGAAGGCAGACGGTTGAATTATGAGTTGAAATTTGAATCCAAAAAACTATATTATTATTAACTATAGGATAGATTTTATTTAAGAATCTTAACGTTAGGTTCAAAAACAAACTATAGAGCTATGAGTTCAAATCTAAATTTAATAATTACATAATTACTCAGTTTAGAATAGTTCTTTTGCATTATTATCCTAACTTTGCTTATGAAAAAACGAACTTTTTTTAATAACTTGACCGAACAAAGACTTGAAATGAGATTGAACCATCTTGAATTGAATAATTTTAGTCTATTTTTTTGATTATGAGATCATCTTGCATTTAGTTGGCTTTTTGACGTTCATCGCGTGTTATTAGAGTATTTTACTCCCATCCGTGTCTTTAATGCTTCTCTATCCTCATCATTTTCTTCAACCTTTTACTCAAACTAATTCTGTTATTACAGCATAGTAGTAGATGATCATACATATCAACAGTACGATCAATCGTCGTTTCAAAACTTATAAAAGTACATAATCATTTAGTTCATTGAATATTTATCATCATAGATGTCTAATATTGAAAGTAGCCTTAGTAAATGTTTATGAGTGGCAAGTGTACAATTTATTTTCCCGGAGTATCTTGCTAAGATCAATATACAGAAAATTTCTCATCTAATATTGCACCCCTTGAAAGAGCGAAAGTCTTTCTTTCAAAACAAAAACCAAATAATCATTCCGACATAGATTTTCACTTTCATTTTGAAGGTTGCATTTTGACGAGACTCATCATCATTATATGTCTTCTCTCCATGATCAAGCTTCTTTTTCGAACGGAACTCTATTGATTCATCGCACTTTTAGTTGTTTCGTTCGCATGATTAATTTTCTCTCTATTCATCTCTCTTCTTTCATCTTTCTTATTAAAAATAAACAATGTTTTCTATTCATACTTCAGCAGTGGTTCATAAACGTTTCTTCCTCTTCAGCGCAACACGCCTAATTCTACACAACACAAGGCAGTAGTAATTTCTCTACACAAAAATGGTAAAAAAACATATGTACTCTTGCGGTTGCTAGTTTTGTAAACGAAAACCACTATTCACAATGAAATAGAGAGCAAAAAATTGTGTCCCACTCAGTTAAACATAAACTGACGTCAGAGATCTATATTTGCATTCAATCGCTATCATAGGATAGTTCGAAAGAAAGTACCCAAACGAGCAGTTTATACTTATTCTCGTATGTTGAAATATAAACGAAGACCTTCTTCAAGATTCATATTCAACGTATCAAACTAGATTCTTTTGTGAGATGTAATATTACTTAGAATAGAAAACAGATAAGAAAGGTTTAAGTTCACTGTTGTTGAACTNGCCCCACCCACACCCTATTCATAGAAAATTAATTGGATATAGAATTGAAATAAATGGACAAAAATATAATCAATTGGATATGGATCAATATCAATGTATATTGACTGAATGTCATGCAGGTGAAGAATATAATATACAACTAGGTATGTACCAGTTCCAGTCCTGACTGGTGAACTGGGTACTCAATCATTTGATCTTTATTCCATTAACCGAATAGTACTTTCATCTTTTCTAATATATTGTAATGAACTGATTCTCAGGCTGTTAAAATACTGATATGAGCTAAAACATTTGAGTCAATTGACTATTCTTTTATTTCTACGTGCCAATCGTTATATAACGTAGAATATTATAAATAAATTTGATTTATATCTTCATTAAATTTTTGTGAGGGATTCATTCAGACACAATTTTCGCTTATTATCATCTTGTTAACTATTTTCTTCGCTATAAACAATTATTCTAGATGATGGATTTCTATTCTCATTTGTTCCAGAGAGAAATGTTTCCTGTAAGATCAATACCTAAATTAAAAAGCAAAAAAGCTGGACTCATTTTAATAAAAATCAAACGAATATGATTGACTTCATGCACATCATGGAAACTTGTAATCGATCAAAATAATTATTAATTTAGAAATTTTAATCATGAATGATTCTGTTTCGTATTGATGAATTTCAAATGCTATCCATATTTTACTAATAAATCGTAGAAGAATGTTCAGAATTTCTTATATAAATTCGAGATGAAAAGCATTTTGGGTCAGAAAAAATTTGGTAAATGATTATCAGTTGTTAAAAACATCAGTTATCGCTCCTTTCGTTTCGCTGTATTGAAAAATACTCTCTTCGTGGGATTATAGCTACCAATAACAAGTCTATTTAATATTATCTTCATAACCTGTGACAAATATAATGAAATTTCAATTATTTGAGAACTTCAGAACAATTGAATATACTTCTTTTAACTAGATTTTATGCTATTTTGAATGCATAATTGAAGAGAGAGAGAGAGAAACGTCTATCGACAAAATGACAAATATATCATATATATATATATATGATATGAAGGGGTGTCAAAAAGTTCTGAGAATTAGTAATATTTCTTCAATAAGAAGCACATTATATTTATTTGTCTACATCAAATGTTAGAAGACATCATAACAATGTTCGACAACAAGCTCAATTTACTATTGAATAATCCTTTTGTATTCATCGATATGTGTCAAAGTGATGACTCAGTTATTATTTAGTTATACTTGTCGATTCAGCACTGAAAATTTGACGATTGTTTTGAAACGGACAGTGCAATGATGTGACATAATGACAGGCGTTGAAAGACAGATTAGATATCGCAGTATTAGGTACAGACAAGAGAGAAATCCTAGCCTGTAAAAGGAGAAAACATTCTACTTGTCGTAAGAAGATGACAACATGTGAAAAAAACAATGTTCAAGAAGCATTAATTAAGAAATTTTCAATAAAGACTATAATGAGGCATCGATGGTATCAAATCCATCATGGTATTGCAAAATGTATATAAAAAATAATTATTGTTATTAAATTTCTCAAAGAGAGAATTTAAAGATATAATGTATATAACACATTCCACTGATCTCTCACTTCGTCTAAGCTTCTGTTTTTCAACTATTTTAAAGTATAGATTAAAGTATCTACTTAGATGCAATAAATTTCACTAAGCAACAGCCGAGCAATCAGTTGGACACATATCGATGAATACAAAAAGATTATTCAAAAGTAAATCGAGCTGGCTATCGAACATTGTAATGATGTCTTCTAACTTTTACGGTAGACAAATAAATATAATGTACTTCTTATTGAAGAAAATTATACTAGTAGTTCTTGGAACTTTTTGATCGTCCTACGTATATATTAATGGTGCTTTATTATTATATTGAAAAAATCAATTTTCTCAATAATGAAACAATATTTTTCATAAAGCTTTCTTAATTTTTTTTTTCTAACGATGTGACGGTGAAAATTAAAAGCAAATATTGAGGATGTCAGAACTTGATGCTTTTGGCGCGTGTCACTTTTTTTATAGACTTATCTGTTTTGTTAATCTAATTTTCTTGCGTTTTGCTATAAAAACATTGTTCGAATATGTGAATAAGAAAATTTTTAAAGGTAACTCGACGATATCTATCCAACCACGAGAAAAAAAACGTCAAAGAAAAATGCTGCTCGGATTTCGGACTGCCGATATCTTACGAAATTGGCTAAACTTGCTATCGAAATTGAATCATGAAAAATACGCGACAATAAACCCAAAAGTATGTTACAGAACGTTTAATATTGACTTTTATTAATAAAAAAAAAAACACTCTTAAGAACATATATTGGAATCTGTTACAACTAAATCTTTATTTTTCAATACTCGATCAAATTTTATATGTATCTTTATAGTTAATCTTATAAAGAACTTAGTTGTTTCTTTCAAATAAACTTGAACTTTTAAATATGATTTTATAATTTATTTCTTATTTAAAAAATATGCATATTAGTAATAAGAAATTCTATTAAAAAAGCAGAGAAAAATGTTTTCAAATCTATTCAATAATTTGATGCATCCCAGGAAAAACCAGGTGCTTCTTGTACGAATCCAACAATGCCATATTGTTTAACAGCGTATGTAATTATAGCTGGACCACTTCGTTCATAATTTTCAACACGAAAAACAAACAATGCTCGAATGTCACGTTTAGCTAAGAGTGCAGCATAAGTATGTCCATTAACTACCTTGATAGTACCAGCGAATTTGTTGTCTCTACCAACCGTATTTTCATAATTGAAAGCTTTTGATGCTGTAACATTTTCCAATGATACATCACCTAAATCAGTTAACATACCGAAATCGTCACCAGCTAACATGACATCAAAAGTATTGTCAGAACCACAAGCTCCATTATACAAAAGGTCGGGCATATTTCTTGATACACCATAATCAGTCAGGAAAAGAGCACAACCTTCATAACTTAATGAACCTCGTTGACAGCTATATGGATAGTTAAATGATACCTTCTTGATAACATGTAACTCAGGAAGAGTAGCTGCTGCAACAACAGCTATATAAATGAATAATGAAAGAAATGTCAAACTATTCATATTTTCTATTGATGATTTGACTGAAGTGACTACTGTAATAGTCGTTCGACTTTTTATACATATTCTATTGCTTGTGATATTGTCCACCTGGTATTTTTCTTGAGTCAAATTTGTTTTGGTGTCATATATTTTTATTTTTTGATAATTCAGTAAGTAAATATGATGATATCAATAACTCGGCAATTATCTTATCTCACACTGTTAATTTCAAGGATTAATATCATCAATGACTAAAATTGCATCTCAAATCACCAAAAATTTACATTAGCATTTACAACTAATCTGCTAAATGATACATTTGTGCACAGAATGTGATCGAAAAAGAAAGAACGAAGGTTTCAATGTATCTATTGAAAAAACTCAATACGAGTCGGCAACATCTGATAATAGGAGTTTATCGGATCTGACTATATCTCGCAATGTATAACCTGTCAAATCGCGTCTTTTCCAACGTTTTAAAGAATTAAAAAAAATATTTTCAGCAAAAATGTCTTCTGTCATGATATTGCAATTGAAATTAAATTATTAGTAGAAAAAAAAAGATCTGTTTGATCCAATAAGATCAACAGTAGATCAGACTAATAGCACATATGTTTGTATCATTTTGGATCGCTAAAACGACACGAATACCATTGAACTCAGAATAATCATAGATATACATATATGATGAAAAGATTTTTATTTAGATTTGTTTCAAATGGAGAAATCTAATAGTAATTGAATAGAATATAATTAAAATGTGTTGTTATTGTTAATTTACATATCTATCAATGGATGATATATATGAATAATCTATGCAATGATGTTACTGAATAATATGAGCATGAATACCGTTATAATCGATCGTTTATGATTGTGCTAGTCACTCTAGGTACTATTATAATGAAAAATCAACACGATGCTATTGTATCTTGTGAGATCCTTCGTCTATCCGATAGTTTTTACCTTTCGAATTCAAGATCAGACAGCTTTCTATCGGAAACAATAGGATTATTTACAGTACACTTGAAGACTTAAGGTTTTTGGAGTTTGAGATTCCTCGTTCTAGAAATTTTTACATTACTCACTATTATCCGTTCCTAAGTATATATGAAACTTTAGTTTTTCATTATTTGCATTTGTTGTCATATGCATATCATTCAGGTGTTTATTAAACTCAGATATGTATATTCGAACAAGTCTAAATATGAAAAAGTGATATAGAAATCTGAAATTGTTTTACTGTCATAGATCACTCTTCCTACTTAATATTTTTTATTTAGAAAATAGATATCCAGCTTAGAGTAAACATCAAATTTTAAAGACAGTTTATATTATAGCTTAATTTAATTTTTACATTATAATATAGAGTTTGAGATCTTTTTCAAATAGATTTTCAAGTATGGTCATCACTGGAACGAGAAACGTATTTTTTTATCATTTTTTTTACTTTTTATCTAACAATAATATTCAATACAAATCTTGTAACATTAACTGCTAATATCTAAAAACAGTAATAACCAATACCCATGTATCAGATCAGTGTGAATTCAATTTACAATTTATCTGATTAATAATAACAAATTAATAGATCACAATGAAATGAATAAATTCGTATGCATTGTATCCAAAAACATGAGCTTAATGCACAAATGTATGTGCTCTGTTGATATATGTATATATAGACTTGAAGTCTTTAACACTATGTTATGTAAGAATTAAGTGTTTGAAATCAATGTTTGAGCATTAGTAATAAATTAGTAACACTAGTACATCGATGTTTGTTACGGTATTATAGTTTCTATTCGATATTGCTGTTGAATAAATAGGAAAGAAAGGATGTCATCGTTGCTGATGATGACCATACATAAAAAATCAATTTTAAAGAAAAGTAAAAAAAAAACAAATTTAATGCAATAAAGTACAAATTAAACTCAAGTATCGGGTGTCCCAAAAATAATCTTAAAAAAAGGAATAGAATGATTCCACCATAGTTTCACTAAATAAGTTCATTTTTTTTCTAATGATAGAGAAGAGTTCCCAGTTTTTATCGTCGCTTTAGACTATTATCTATTTAAATGAGAAAAAATTGCTAATTTCTGGAGAAGATAAACGATAGATTTTAGGCTTCTCTAATATTGTTTATATTTTTATGATGTTGAAATTTCTCAGCCTGTAAAAAAATATTTTGCAATCTTTGAGTTTTTGCAAATCTATCTAGCTTCTCCAAGGCTTCACAGGACTCTCTGAAATGCTCCCGTATAGAAGACTTCCGGAAAAAAATTTCGATTACAGTTGGGTATGGGTGTTCGTTCTTTACTTTGCAGATTGTAGAGTTTTTCACGGTGCATCTTTCGATATATTTTGTCTTTTTTTTTAATGAAGTGTGTTAGGTGATGAAAAAATGAAATGAGAAACGCGACCATTTATTATGCCACGTTCGTTATAATTTAGTCAACACTTTTCCCAGTACAATCTGTTTCAAATGAAGAACAATTTTAATATATACGAATTGCAGTTATCGAAAACCATGAATCTTTTAATTTATTTTGAAGATTTGTGCCATATTTTGACGTTTACTTCACAAGAGTCATCATCAGACATGAAGTTGAATGAACAACCTGCCCTGAAAACTTCTTTACCCTTTATTATTTTTATTTTTATCATTTATTATGATAATTTTCTTCAACGTCAAAAACTGTTACTGTTCATTTTTGACCAAATTCAATAGCATAGTTATATACAACAATCAATATTATGTTAATTCTCATATTATTTGTTTCCTTTATTTAACATTATGTTTTTATTTGAAATAATTCCTTAACATATAATAAGTAACTTTAGCATTCATTTTTTTTGCAGTTATTATACTTATGCCATTCAAAAAGTTCTGAGAAATTTAAAAATCTATTCATGAAGAAGACATTCCATTGATCTCTCTACAGTAAATGTTCGATACAAAGTTTCCATTCGTTCAACCCACTATTGAGACATATTTTCATATTTAGCAACATACATTAAGTTGAGCTCCTTGATTATTACGCTAGTTAAATTGTTGTATTTGGATATGTAGATACGTATATAGTTTACTACCTCCGTCAAGTTAACTATTTACAATATCTTTTACTTGTTGTTGATATTGCTACGATGATACTTCGTACAACTTGATAATAATGATTCACTTTTGTTTGACAACTTTTTGACTTATTGTTTAAAAATTTACCCTAATATAGGTATGACTAACAACTGCTGCAGAAGACACTACATAATAAGTAATGACCTAGCTGCCATAAAAAGAGTGGCAAACATCATTAGTTTTGATATCGTTACTTATGAATGACAAGTGTATGACTTTTTTCTTATGCTGTCTATGATTTTCATTATAGGTGGGATCGAGCATTGTGACAGTGAGTTCAAGTCTAATAGTCAGTGATCATATCATATAGAAATACTGCACCACGTTCAAATCTCTGTCAATTTTTCAAGACTTTATGAACAAGTGTGACTATAGCAATAACCGAGGAGTTCAATTCAATGCATGATGTTGAATATGAAAAGTTCTCTCAATAATGGGTTGAATGGATGAAACTTTGGATTGAACATTTGCTGTAGAGAGATCAATGAAATGCCTTGTTCATGAATAAATCTTTGAAGTTCTCAGAATTTTTTGGATGACTTAAGTAATAATTAGAGAAAAGCCATCATTATAAATAATGAAAAATAAAATTAATCAAGAACAACAAACTTTCATTGCAGTTTATTCTTTTAACCCCAGGTGTGATGATGACATTTGTGGAGCAAACGTCAAAATATGACACATCTTCAAAATAAATGAAATGATTTATTATTCTTGATAACCGCAATTTCTACATATAATAATACGGTATCCATATATATGGCAAGATCATACTCTTTAAATTAAAAAACAATTTTACTGTATTGAAAATAAAAACTCCTTTTTTTATTTCACCAAGATGACATTAAGTTAAATGTGCCGGATTCAACTGATCATGAATGCTGTTAAGAACAAGCAGTAAAAGTTTCTTATTCATATAATTCAAGTGCATCATGTTTAAATATTTTACTGTTTGACGATGAAACAATACGCACAATACATTCATTGTTCTGAAAGGATGACAACATTTACGAGACAACTACGACGATGAAGATACATAAAAATAATAGTCAGTATTTAAGCATTCTGTTCATTTTCGACTCTAGAAGGATGTTGCATTCGTCGGATCAAATGTAATCCAGCAGTGGTTTCTCCGACAGTGTTTAGCGGTCGCGTGGCAATGATTCGTGGATCATTGGGAGAAATTGTCCCAACCAAGCGTCTTGTCCATAGAATACGTCGAGTTACGAATAATCGAAGCTCATGTCGAAACGTTTTCGATACAATGATATTAGTGTAGAGAGCTGACGATGCCGTAATATATAAAAGAAATTGACCCCCGACGTAGTTGCAAAAATTCTGTATGTCAAGCTGTAGTGGAGTCTTCTTCCAGGTGAGTGTTATTGAACCATACAAACTGTTCATAGGTACTGGTATATTTGATATGCAATAAATCGTCACCTCAACTAGAAGCATTTTTAACAATTGATAATCGTACACTTTCATACGAGTAGGCACATGTTTACTGGTCGTGTTGTGAGCTAGCCGAGTATTATCTTTGGTAGTAGCAGTGTTTTGGACACGCTCGTGTGTTTGTCGAAGATTTCTAATAGTAAGCGTGCTAAAGAAAATCATAGTGAATGGAGGAAAAATTGATGAGAGGAATGCAGAATATCCAGTATAAAAGTATTGATATTCTATAGGCGAGGTGCATTTGCCATTTTCAATTGTTTTAAAAACAAGTACATGAATGGGTATAATCAGCCATATGATGATAATGATACCGATCACATAACGGGCAATACGTGGTTGACTGAATCTTCTTATTCGTGCATTGGGTGAACACATGGTAAAGCGATCGATACAAGCAAGTGAAATAATGAATCGAGCCATGCACAAAAACGAT